CTGAATTTTGATTAATAGGGATAGTAACAGGACTAGAGTAATTTCCTTATTGAACACTGGGACACATCATAAGTTACTCCTTGATATATAAAATCATTATTAAAATTTAACCCAAACATCAAAACTACCCCTGAGTTTAAAATTCCCTCTGAAATAGAGAACCCAGAAATAGCCACACACAAATATGGCCAACTGACTTATTTTTTCCATTTCTTTTAATTTTTTATTGGCGCACAGAGTTGTACATAATCACGGGACTTCTTATTATATGTTTATACATGCACACAATATTACAATATAATTTGTCCAATACTATTCCCTAGTATTTCCCCTACCAGCTTTCTCCTCCTTCTTCCTGGTCCCTCTCTTTCCTCTAATCTCCTTACTAATCTCCTTTCAATTTCCATAAGACCTCTCCCCGAGACCCCACACACCTTTTCTTTCCTTTTCCTCTCTGGCTAATACATATGAAAGAAAATATACCCTTGAATTTTTGAGTTTGGCTTCTTTCACTTAACATAATATTCATCAATTTTCCTGAAAATGACATAAGTTCATTCATCTTTTATGGCTGAATAAAACTTCATTGTGTATTTATACCACATTTGCTTTATCCTCTCATTCACTGATGGACACCTAGGCTGGTTCCATAGTTAGCTATTGTAAATTGTGCTGCTGTAAATGTGGGTATGCATGTATCACCATAGTAGATAACTTCAATTCTTAGGATAAATATTGAGGAGTGTTATAGCTGAGTTATAAGGTGGTTCTATTTCCAGTCTCTTGAGGACCCTCCATACTGATTTCTGAAGCATTGTCCTAATTAACAATTCCACCAAGGGTATAGAAGTGTTCCTTTTACTCTACATCTTCTCTAACGTTTATTATTATTGGTTGCCCCTTCTGACTGGAGTGATATGAAATCTAAGTGTAGTTTTGATTTGATTTACATTTCCTTAATTGTTAGAAATGTTGAATATTTTTTCATGTACTTGACCAACTGACTTTTTTTTTTTTAATTGGCACCAGGGATTGAACCCAGGGACACTTAAACACTGAGCCACATTCCTAGTCCTTTTTAAATTTTTATTTTAAGACAGTGTTTCACTGAGTTATCTAGGTTCTTGCTAAATTGCCAAGGCTGGCTTTGAGCTTGGGATTCTCCTGCCTCATCCCTCCAAGCAGCTAGGATTACAGGTGTGTGTCATCATGCTCAGGAGGCCCACTGACTTTGAATAAAGGTATAAAAGCAAGTTCACAGAAGAAGGATTATCTTTTCCACAAGTATTCCTGGATTAGGTATGCACAAACTAAAAACGTGAATCGTGACCTAAACCTCACTAAAATTAACTAAAAATGGGTCATAGGTTTAAATGTAAAACTAGAAAACCTTTAAAAGAAAGTCTTCAGGGAGGAGGGCAGTCAACAGTTCTTAGAAAAGACAGCAAAAGCAGAATCCATGAATTTAAAAAGTTAATAAATAGACTACATCAAAATTTAAAATAATTTTCTGTGAAGGACCCTGTTAATAGGATAAAAAGACAAGTTGAGTCACATATCTGATTAAAGGCTCATATCTGGAATACACAAAGAACTCTTAAAGTGTAACAAGAAAAAAGGAAATAATCAAATTAGAAAATGGGCAAAAGACATGAGACATTTAACAGAATATACCAATGGCAAAAAAGAACGTAAAAAATACTCAACACTGCTGGGCACAGCGGTTCATGTGGGTAATTACAGTGGCTCTGGAGGCTGAGGCAGGAGGATCATGAGTTCAAAAGCAGTCTCAGCAATCTAGAGAGGCCCTGAGCAACTTAGTGAGACCCTGTCTCTAAATAAAATACAAAAAGGGCTGGGGGTGTGGCTCTATGGTACAAAACAAACAAACAAACAAACAAAAACTCAACACTTTAGCCATTAGAGAAACACAAATTAAGACTCATGATAAGATATCACTAGACTTATTTATTTTAGCTTGGGAAGAGAAAAAAAAAAGCAGTGACAATACCAAATGCTGATGAGTATATGGAGAAACTGAATTTTTATAACTAGCTGGTGGGAATATAAAATAGTATGATTACTCTGGAAAATAGACAAGTAGTTTTTTTTTTAATTTTTTTTTAGTTGTAGATGGACACAAGATCTTTATCTTTGTTTATTTTTTAAATTTCTTTCATACATGACAATAGTGGATTGCATTACATTCATTATTATCCATTCACAGAACAATTTTTCATAACTCTGTATATAAAGTATGTTCACGCCAAATTATGCCATTATGCATGAGCTCTCATTGATTTTTTTGCATTACAATTTTAATATAGCTTTATTACACAAATATACCAAAAAATGCGCATCATCTCTAGCAATCAGAGAAATGCAAATCAAAACTGCTCTAAGATACCATCTCACTCCAGTAAGAATGGCAGTTATTATGAAGACAAACAACAACAAGTGTTGGCGAGGATGTGGGAAAAAAGGCACACTCATACACTGCTGGTGGGACTGCAAATTGGTGCAGCCAATTAGGAAAGCAGTAGGGAGATTCCTTGGAAAGCTGGGAATGGAATCACCATTTTACCCAGCTATTCCTCTTCTCAGACTATACTCAAAGGACCTAAAAACAGCGTACTACAGGGACACAGCCACATCAGTGTTTATAGCAGCACAATTCACAATAGCTAAACTGTGGAGCCAACCTAGATGTCTGTCCTTCAGTGGATGAATGGATAAAAAAAAATATGGCATTTATACACAATGGAATATTACTCAACAGTAAGAAAGAATAAGATCATGGCACTTGCAGGGAAATGGATGACATTAGTGAAGATTATGCTAAGTGAAGTTACCCAATCCCCAAAAAACAAATGCCGAATGTTTTCTCTGATTTAAGGGGGGGGCGATGACTCAAAGTGGGGTAAGGAGGGAGAGCATGGGAGGGAATAGGGGGTGGGAGAGAAGGGGAATAGCAAGGATGGTGGAAGGAGATGGTTATCTTTGCTTATTTTTATGTGGTGCTGGGGATCCAACTCAGGGACTCACACGTGAGAGGCAAGTGCTCTACCACTAAGCCACAACCCCAGCCCTAGACAAGTAGTTTTGTTGTAATTTTGTGATGCTGAGGATCAAACCCAGGGCCTCATGCATGCTAGGCAAACACTCTAACACTTTGCTGTACACCCCCCAGACGTGATGTATACCTCCAGTCCAGTTTGGTAGCTTCTTTAAAAAAAATCTAAACACACATGTTCCACATGACCTAGCAATTGCATTTTGGGACATTTATCTCACAGAAATGAAAACACAAAAGCCTGTACATGATTGCTCAAAGCAGGTATTTGTATTGCCCTAAACAGAGAACAATCAAAATGTTCTGCAGGAGGTGAATGGTTAAATTATCCATACCTTTGAATACCACACAGCATTAAAAAATAGTAAATGAACTATAGATACATGCAAAAACTTGGATGGATCTCAAGGGTTTTATGCTGAAAGAAGCCAATCCCAAAAGGTCACAAATTGCATAAATCTACTTATAGTTATATAAATAGAATCATACAGTCTCAAAATGTAGTAGTACAATATCAAAGCTAGGAAACTGATATTGATGTAAAGTGTTTGTATAGTCCTATATTATTCTCTAACATGTCAATTTGTCTCATCACAATCAAAATCCAGTACTACTCCATCACAACAAAGGTCACTCTAGGGCTAATCCTTTCTTGTCCTAACCACTGGCAACTTCTAGTTTCCATTTTTAAATTTTTACAGCTAATCATTGTTCTTAAAAGTCAGTAGTCCACAATACAAACACATATCCAACACTTGTTTTGGAAGATAGGTTTTGTTTTATTGCACTGAGCATTAATATTTAATAAATTAAATTTAATTAAATAAATACTATTAACAATATTTGGGGGACTAGGAGTGTACTTGTGCTTAGCATAAACAAGGCCCTGGGTTCAATTCCCAGCACTAAAATAATAATAACTTTGATGTCTATGAATTATAATCACACGTTCAGGATTTACTGAGGAAATAGTAATATCAAATATAGTGCTCCATATGCAAGATATACCTGTGACGAAACACCACATTATACTTCATACATGTTTAATAATTTGAATCAAAAACAAACGTTAAAATTTTTAAAATTATTAGGTTCTATTGGGTTTCATATGAGTCCACATGTTGAAAAAAATCCTTCAAGAGGCCAGATTGTTTGTGGAAAATGTGATCATTATAACTACAGAAATTCAAACTGAATACAGTCCTGTCCTGGGAGCTTGCAAATTCAATCTGGTAACACTTTGGGAAAGTGCTACTTTTGTTTCTCAAGGACTCAACGAGCTCTCTGGCTCTCCCAATGGGCTCAGCCCTTGATATTTTGTGTTCTTTGAAAAATTATGAGTTGCCGGCGTTTAAATTTTCAATTATTTTCTTCTGTCCTTTCCATTATAATTTTAAATAATAAGTCCTACCAACTAATAAGGATTATCCTTTTTATGGGGCAATATTTACACTCAATGCACTTCCTCATTTTTCTTTCATTCATTTTCCTTCTTATCTCTTTCAACCAAACCTTTTAACTCTTTTCTAAACCCCAGTATTGGAAGGAAAGCAGACACCATACGAATCCCTTATGTTGCGGTTGTACTGGCTTGAGAACGAAGGAAGTTAGACCCTTGCGGGGATCCGTCCTCCCATCCTGCCATTTGCCTGCAGCAAGATGGCGGCTGTCTTAATGTCAGTGGCGCTGAAGCAGGCGTTATTGGGGAGAAGAGCAGCGGCTACAGCTGCTGTTTCCGTTTCCAGGGTTCAAACCAGGTAACAGAATTGTCAGGCTTCTCTTTCAAGATTCTCAGGTTCCTCCACAGTTGTGGAGTCCTTGCTGGCCGGGTCCCGGAGGAGGCCTCGGGAAAGCGTCCTCCGCTGACCCTCTCTTCGGGAGAGGGCGGCGGACTTGGGACTAGCTGCGTTCGCCGGCGCTGGCCTGGCGACTGGGGGCTTGAATGCGGGTAGGGGGAGCCGGACCTCTGGTTTCCTGGAAACTTTTGGTCCGTGGCCGAGGTAGAGGGTCTCTGGGGAGTGGTTGTCTCGGGAACTCTGAGCGGAACCTTTGCCCTCAGAGAAGGACAGGAGTCTCCTTGGTTTCTCTCCCCACCTTCGCGGCCCTTCCATTTGTCACCTGTTTGCTCACCACTTCGGTCTTTGGTGTAAGTGGTGTTTATTGGGCTTCCGAACAGAAAGATTGTTTAATTAGTCTGCATGGCAGGAAAACTTTTTTCTTAGGACTTTAGTGTTATTAAAAATGTCATTGCTAGTAATTTTGGAAGACATTTCTTAGTTCTTATTTTTTACGGTGTTGGGGAGGAGCCCGTGGCCTCGCTTGCCAGGTGCGAGCTGTTCCGCTGAGCTACATCCCAAGCCAGGGAAGGTAATTTTTTAGACAGATGGTAGTCCCCGAATTGTCCCCATCCATAGTTTTACTAAAGCGTCACAATAATTTAGCAATTGTTTTATTGTATTGCTTTGAAGCAATACAATGTGATGGTGGTTTTATTTATTTATTTTTTTACTGCCTTACTTAATCCTTCACTTCCATATTTCTCTGAATTTTTCTGAATTCATTTCAGTATTAATAGTGTACACACGTTACATACACAGGTTAGCATTTTCATCAGCAAAGTCTTAATGTTTTGTCGCTTTTTACACAGCCTATTATAAATACAACCTGGGGGCTTATATTAAATGTCAACTGCATGCTGTGGAGACTAACCTAAATGCTTAGACCAAGTTGAAAAGATTGGACAGGGGTAGGGTTGGGGTGGGAGGAGGAATGTGAGTGGTTAAAGATTGAATAGAAAACGTGTTTCAGTGCTATTAATGTAACGCTAAACAAACATAAAGGGAATGCGGTAATGCAGAGTTAAACGAGTGAATTGGAACTTTTGGAGGTGACTTATTAGGCTTTTAAATACTGTTATGTGGAAAAGAAGAGGGTTTGCTAGATAAATTTAGTGGCTTCTGAAAAGACTTGAAGGCAATTGTGGAGCAATATATAATGTCGAATAGCTAAAAAAGTAAGGTTCTCAAATTGGGGAAAGATAAGGAATTAATTTTTAATTTAGGGTTCTACATTTGGGGAACTTGAAAGTAGTTCTCTAAAGTAAAATACTCTACTAAATAACTTAAGGTTAGAGTATAGAGGTAATCCTGTTTAGTTCTTCCCCCTTGGACATTTTGGGGATTAATTGTACTTTCATAAATAATAATGTACTCATGGTAGCCCTAAAACTGAAATCAAGTTTGACGGGATCATTGCTGTAGGTTAATAAAAACATGTCAATATATCTAAGTTTAGGGCACAGCCATTTTTGGGGGTTTATAGATAAATCTCTAAATCTAAAATATTAGATTTTGGGAATTGATGATAATTATTGACTACAAATCCAAATTTAAGAGTTTTTTTTTTTTGCTTCCAACTGTTATGAGAGATTTGAAAATAAAATTTTAAATCATTCAGGATGACTTTTGATTCACATCTTAAAAACTTAAGCCAAGGAAAATAGTTTTTAAATACAAATTAATACATTTATTTACTTTTTACACATTTTGTTGTTGTTTTTTCCCCAGAGAGCCAATGATGTTCATCTTACTTTGAGGGAAATTTGTGGCTCCTTTCCCTTAAATATTATTTTGAAGCTCTCTTTTACTATTATGCTTTGAGAGTAATGAGAATCTGAAAAGGTTGAGTGAAAAAAGAACCAACTAATGGGGAAATAATGCATCAAATTTTATTGTAATGCTTAAAAATTTGCAAATGACATTTCAGATATTTTGAATAAAATATGAGAGTGGAATCAGAAGGCATATAAGAAGGAGGGGAGTCAGGAATAGAGGAAAAGAACTATCAAGGAAGTAGTAAGCTGCTACATTAACATTTGAATTTACTTACAGTATATCAGTAAAAATCAAAAATCTAAACAAAATCCAACAACATATACACACAAGCTAGAGAAAAGGTTATTTAAATAGAGCCAGTGATTTCAGCTGATCTACTGAGCTTGTGCCATAGAGTTGTCCATTTCCCTGGATTGAGCCTGAGGTGAGAGAAAACTTGATAAATCATCTACATTTATCCTCACTTTCCTAAGGAATTTTCCAGCGTAAATTTAACTATTTAGGATAGCAATGTGTCACCAGATAAATTTGCATTCTTTCAAAATAGCAATACTTGGGATTTAGGTTATTTGATGTGGTGTTATTTATTTATTCATTTTGATGTTTTCGTATATATTTATCTCACCTAGTCCTATATCAACTTCTCAATTTAAACTTGATCTGTGTTTACCTCAAACATAGTTCTTAGGGTGGTAGATCCTCAGTGGGTGTTAATTAATGACTATAGTGGGGACTAAGTGATTGAGACCTCTTTGTAAAGTTTATTTTGTGCTCCAGTCTATGGTTTTATCTTGTTGCTTTATTTCCCAGTATGCAATTGAGTCTGCAAGGACCACTGATGAGCAAGGGGTCCTAAGGTTAATAACAGTTCTAATATTTCATCTTTCGGTGAAACAGGCTCAGCCAAAATTTGAGAAACTTTTGGAACATTTAAAATCAATAGGTTGACTTCTACTTCAGATAAAATGGATAAACAGATTCCTATCCCTTAGGTGCAGCTAGCTACTTTTGCTGTCTTTGTTAATGTATCAGACAGTGTTTGAGAGCTTGAAATATTTTTGAAGTATATTTGAAATATTTTTCCTCATTACAAATTCCCAAACTTGGTTGATTTGTTTTCATCAATAGCATACACGTTTGTTGATTTCTTCTCAGGAAAATTGAATAGTTCAATACATATAAATATTAGAATAGTGTCTGGCACATAGTAAACCTTCCCTAAATAAATGCTAATTTTATTATTGTTTTGAATCTGCTAAATATTTTTCTCTTCTTTAGTACTTTTGATAGGTATTGTGATAGATTGTTTTGTCCCTAGTCCTCAGCCAGGCGATTTGCTTTGGCCAGTGAATTATGAGTGGAAATGATGTGCCATGCCAAACTGAAGCCCAAAGAGCTGTCCTATTCCGCCATGTACCTTTTCTCTTTGCTGTGAGATAATCATGGGCTAGGTGGAGTCTGCTCCTTTAGACCAGAAAAACAACATGGAGCAAAGCAGAAACTGGTTTTTGTAGATTGTATAAAATGTAACTGGAATGAGAAATAAAGCTTTGTTGTAAGCCACAAAGATGTTTGGTTTGTTGATTTCTTCAGCATAACAAATATACTTTTTTTTTTAAACACAGACACACAAACATTTGCAAATGAGCAGGTTTTAGCATATGAAATAAGGATATCAGTAGTGAAATCACAAACCTTTTGAAGGCTGCAACAAATCTTTTTTTTTTTTTGTATACTATACTGCATCTAGTTTAATGGCTTGCACACAGCAAGTAAATTCTTATCACATAGATGAAGAAATATATATTTAGAAATGAGTGAGTGTGAGGAAAAGCAGGAAGCCATAGGCAGTGTTTCTGATAATAGTCTCATCAGTGAATGCCAGATAAATAGTAGCATACATAAATGTGAATTAAAAAATACCTACAATAAATATTTATTCTTTTCTAATTATTTGTAGTGGCTTGAATTTAGGATTTTCACCTTGAATTCTATTAATTTCTGGATTGAAATTGTGTTATTCATAGATTTTGTACTCATATACTTTGATAAGCATCTTGACCCCTCTTTTTATTCAGTTTAAAAATTAGCAAGAGGCAGAAATAGATTTATTTGGGAAAGGGTATTCATTGGATTATGACAGCCTCATGTAATTAGGGTAACTAACTTCATCTTTATATATAACTTTTTAATTATATGAGGGGCTTAGTGGAGAAAGATGGAATAATTTGATTCCTGTGTAATACCTGCTGGAAGAGGTCAGTTTGGGGATGAGGTAAATGAATAATTCAGGCAGAATACAAATCTACCAAATACAAACAATGTCAAACGGAAAAACTTCTAAAATGTATCATATCCCTTGGTAAAAGTTGATGTTTTGGGGGTGGGTACAGTCCTGGGGATTGAACCCTTTCCAGGCAAGCTGTCTACTACTGAACTATATTCCCAATCTGAGTATCATTTTTATGTATTTATTTTGAGCTCCAATGAATAACAGCAGCTAGCATTTATTTCTAACTTCCTGAATATCAGCTAGTGTGTCATTATCTCATGTATTTCCCACAGTAACCCTATGAACTCAGTGTTCTCATTTTTTTTTCAGGTGAGGGTACAAAAGTGAAACTACTAAAGTTTATATTGCTTGGAAAATATTCTGATTTAGTTGTACATGGGAGGCAAGCACTCTTACCAACTGAGCTATATCCACAGCCCTATTTATTTAAATGAATATTTTGACTTTTGCAGTTAGGAATATTGTATCTGATAATTGTACATTAAAACCTCAGTATCTTCTGCCTTTCAGCAAGTTGTGTTCTTTATTTGCAAAACTATCTGATATTCTTATGTTATTCTTGTTCCTTTTGTACAATGAAAGGGGTTAATATTTTTAAACTATGGATTTTTTCCCTCAATTTTGTAATTATTTTGTGAGTGACTTCTTATAGGTGACTTCATTATATTTTTTTACCCTCTTAAACAAAATACATAATTTTGTATGTATTTAAATACATTTAAATGAGGTATGCTGAACATAACTTTTTATGTTTTCCTTACTGCAGTGATAATTAGGAAAACAGTTATTATATTCTGCTACCTTCAAAACCTTATCAAGTGTGTATATGATACTTGAGTGCTTATGTCAGCTTTTTAATAGTATTTTTAATAATGTTTTTGTATTTTTAAAATATTTTTTTAGTTGTTTATGGACCTTTATTATATATAGTGCTGAGAGTCAAACTCAGTGCCCCACACTTGCCAAGCACGTGCTCTATCACTGAGTTACAATCCCAGCCCTTTGTATTCTTTCTTGCCAGCCTGTTTTCCTTTAGCTGTTTCACCACCTCTTTTCATTTATCATATGCTTGAATATTAAGCAACTAAATCTATCGATTATGTAGGCTTAATTAAGCTCTGATAATGGCTGAACTTTATTGTAATTAAAATAAACTCTTTAAGGCTGATGGATTATACAGTTAATATTTGAGTTCTAATAACTTTGTTTTGTTTGCACAGTCCAAAGATTCTGGTAGAT